TTATTTGTGAAAATATTATACTTCTTCAGAATATGATTAATTAATTTTTAATTTAATAACAATAATAATTTACCTAAAACATTCTTGAATTATTGCACATTTACATATAGTTTCATTTTGGTTATCATTATCAACCAAAGAGACTAGTAAAGCTATGTGGTTGTGCTTAGGATGTTGTATGGGAATTGTTAGAAATGAATTTGACATTGGACATATTGGTTGAAGGTGACGTAATAATTCTTCATCAAGCACTGTTATATCTGTTGCAGTTGGCTCTTTATTTTGCACAGTTTTATATAAAACATTATTTGACATCTGCAAGAAAAATGATTCAAAATTATATACATAATAAGATATGAATTAGTTTTATCAACTTTGAATTATCAATATAAATAACATTTTGATATATTTAGAATAGTTTATATATTATGTGTACATTATTTCAATTTTTAAATTAATCTAGGAAGAGGGTAATTGTAATAATTTTTATTAACTATGGTCTTCAATTGCCATTAATATAACTACTATTAATTGGTTGTAAATTATATTATTTGCACAAGTTTTCTTTACAGTTTAAAATTATATTATCTTATCAATAAAAAATTCATTGCATTTGATTGTTAAATAAAAAAAAAGGTGGAATAAGTTTTGTAAATGTATATAGATGTAACAACCTTCATTAGAAAAGTGTGAATAATGATAAACCATATCATTATCATTGATAACATTTTTCTATAGTCTATTTAAAAAGTTTTGCGTTATATCAGTAATACCTGTATTTTTGTATGGCTTCTTTTATGTAGGTTTCTAAGTATTCTATTTGAGGATTAGATACTGCTAAGCAATCTCTATTTGTAATGTGGGACAATTCTTGAAATTAAAACTTTGCTGTATCTCAATACATAATTTGTTCAAAATACAAATTTTATTCCACAAATATCAAATACTATAAAAATACTAAAAACTAAAAAAAATATAAAAATTGTTAACAAAGATAAATAAAAAATATATCATTTTAGAATATTTACATATTAAAATTATTATATTTTCTAGCATAATACTATCAACAAAATAATAATTAGAAATTAAATCATTATTTATTTAGTTTAGTTTATTAAATAATTTTTACTTACAGGAAATCTTAATTCCCTGTCTAAAATTTTTTCTCCTATCACATGAATTACCATTTCCTCTGATTTTACTAAAATGGGTACAAGAAACGACAGTTTTGTATTTGTTGAAGTTTGTATCTATAATATTGAAAAAAAATACGATTAAAATAATTGATTACAAGTTCTCTTTTTACAGCTATGTCGCAAATATTAAAAAATAAATTTACGATATAAAAGATCGTAACATTTATTTTAATGTATAAAGTGAATTTTTCATTACATTTCCTTCAAATACTTTTTACAGATGAAAAAGGTTTGTCATTGAAATTTATAACCAGCGATAAGTTGTAGTGCTTTCAAAAAGAGGCATGCGTGCCGCGAAAAATTGTACGCATAAAAATGACAATATTACTCACGTATTTGTTTAATTTTTGCTGTACTTGGGGATAGGAAAGACCGCAGAGTTCCTCGAGAAGTGAAAGAATTTTTTCCGCATTTGACGCATTCAGATTAATTAAACTCATTTTCATTAATTCCACCGTAATTTTTTTCAATGGCAAATTATTGCGATTTACACGATTTAATAATACTACGATGTGTCGCGAACGTTTATTTCAGATTTCATGTTTTGCGATGCCCTATGTAATGAAAACTGTCGGTAATTATTTCAAAGTGAATAAAATATATTCTTGTCGATCATTTTTTAAATTTAAATCGACTGACAAAGCACAGGACAAGAACACACTGTGAAGAGTTGCTGCAAACCTCTGCAAAGCTCTGCATTCTACATAATTCTTCAATCATGAATAAACAAGTGACGTGCGCAACTCGCACTTACACATTACGCCACTTTTAAAAATTGTTTTCATTTTCTATTTACTCAGAATATAGCTTTTACGATATGGAAATAAAATTTGTTATAACATATGTATATTAATGTAATTACCAGGATTTACCAGAATTGCAAATATTTTATTCATGTTTGGATTGTGTGAAATTTATTTAATATTCAAATTTGAATAAAAGTATATTCTATTCTTGTAACTTGTTCAAATGTTTTAGAATATATTATAGGTGTTTTTTTATGTAATTAAAAAAAAGACGAGTTGTACAAATTGTTTTAACGATACTTTTGAAATACACACTAAGTACATACATCTAAATGTAGTATTCGTAAACAAGAGTAAACCCTGTGATGTTGGCAACACTTTTGAATAATGTTTATACCTAACAGGAACGCGTTTTTTGTTCTATGGAAAGTGCAATAATTGACACTGTCGTTTGTAAATATTAGAAAACAATGAATGTATACAACGAAGAAAGTGTAAATATTTTGAAAATAGAATTTCTTATGACAAATGTATTGTCTTGAAATTTATTGAAATGCTTCTTCAGTATCTTGGTTATATTATAGTAAATTATTAAATGTAATATATTTGGAAGCATTTATTTTGATGAATTATATATTAAAAAGTAACTGTACAATGAATTTTATATAAATATACTTTCAAACGATAATTTGTAATAATTTTTTAAATATAAATATTAAAGCAAGATAGTATAAAGCTTTTGTTCTGTCTAAGTTTATGATATAACATAAAACAGTTTGTTTATGAAGCTTATAAAAATAAGTATGGAAGACGAGTGTAACATAACAGTGAGATATAGAACTGTCCGTAAACATTTAGATAGTTTAGGATACAAACATGCACTTACATTGGATACACTTCCTTTGATAGAAAAGTTATTGGCTGATTTAATACAGACAACAGAAAGCTTAAAGCATTTTAAGAGTATAGCTCAAGAAAACATTGAGGTTTGTATATTTGTATTTTGTGTTAATTAGTAATGATATCTATAATTATTT